TTCAGTGGAAGGACTGGGTTCAAGTTCAGGCGCCCCGGTGGCAAGTCTGATGGGGACTTTCAGGGCACCTGCTGTCCTACTGATCAGAGTTGGTCCTTCCCTTCTCGTTATCCTCACCCCGGGGACCCGGTGATGAGCCTCAGCCCCCGACCCCGGGTTGGCATGCCCCCCCTTCCCCTCCCCTTCCCCAGGTTTCTCCTCTATCCTTTCAGCTCCTACCCCTTCCTCGCTGGCTGCTCCCTCCTCCCTGATGACACTGCTGCTGCCCGATGACAGAAAGGAGTTCATAAAAACCAATGTGTAACTGAAACTTGAAAAGCCATAAATCACCTAGTTTTTTCTAGGATGTTGGTAACATTTTGATTTAATAGTTGGACAAACACAAGGGCCTATTTTATTCAGAGTTTACAGGCCTCAAGGCTGTTATTCCTCCAAATTTAATAGCATTGAAATTGCAGGGTTTGCTATAATTTGCCTATCGCTTTCTGCACCACCATTGGTGTTTATTGTCAGCGGGATGGAATCTCAATCCGACTCACTTAGATAACATGTCTGTTAAACATTTAGATAATTGTACCATCATTAACTTGTCACATTATTTTAGAGATTTGAAACAGAAGCAGGGTAAGTAGAGGTAGCAAGGGGGATGGAGGTGGGGGAAGAGGAGGAAGAGGAAAATCTCCCCTGGGTTAAACAACCAGGAGATGAGAGAGCTGATTTCACACTCTTGACATTTGATCGGAGGTTGTCGGAGTCAGGGGGTGTGTCCGGCAACCCCTGTGACAGTGTCGCGGATGCTCAGAGACCCTCTGTGTTTCCCATCCAGCTTTGGTCTTCATGTACCAAAGATCAATTTTTTAGCCTCCCTTAGAGGTGCTGATGGCAAGATTATATGTCATTATGAAGCCCTGAGAGCAACCTAAACGTCCAAAGGTAAGAAACCTGTTCATTATGGGACCTGCGCAGAAAGATGTCCACGATGTTTTGTGTGATAAAACGTGGTTAGAAGAAAAGAGTGCATAGTGTGATCCCATTTAATATAAAATACAGAAGCCATTCTGTAAGATTCTCTGAGTTTCTACCTATTAACAGTGATTGTCTTTAGAGAATGAGATTACAGAGCAAAGCGGGTTTTACTTTTTGCTTTGTCTGTTTCTGAATAACAGTGATTAGTGCTTATTTTTTCTTTATTGTTATATTATAGTATTTTTGTATTGTAGTCAATAATATTATTGACTGGCATGGATTATTTACGTCCTTTTAAAAATTAAGGTCACGTTATAAATAATTAAAATATCACCTTTGAGTCTCATTCTTTCCATGGAGGACGATTTCTGAAAATAAAAGGCTACAAGTGCAAGTCGGTGGGTTTTGAGAAAGATGCAGGACGTCAGTGTCTCAGCTGCACTGGTAGGCGCCTCGCTTGCCCACGGTTAAAGACAGGTAGAGGCCAGCCAGATGGAGAGCTCGGAACCCAGGGAGGGGCTTGTGCGGCGCTCACAGGTCACAGCTGCTCGGCCTGTTCACAAGGGCCTGATGGGGGATGTGGGTAGCAAGAGAGATTTTCATTACCTAAGTGAGGACTGAGGTCACACCTGGAGGGATGAGGCAGGCCAGAGAGCAAGAGGAAGGAGCTCCCATTCCTCAGAAGGGAGATTCTGGAAGTAGCTAGACGTGGGACACTGCGCTTGGCATCCAAACTGCCCCCAAGAAACTCTGTAGTGAATGCCCTGAGGTCCCGTGGGGAGGATGGATGTGATCAGTACTGCTTGTCTGACTTTGGACACCAGGGTACCTCGTGCATTCCCAGGGCCTGCTCTGTGGCTTAGACAGGAGAACTCACTATCGCCCCTCACAGGTTGTGCACACCCAGTGACGGGGAATAGGGAAGAAGGCACAAGTCAAAAAATAAGGGTTAATGTTGCCCTGATTGTACTGTAAATAATGCAGATATTTGGGGATGAGAGGGACAAACAATGTAAATATTTTATAGACTGTAAGCTAAATAATGTATATATTTAGAAAAAAGCAGCTTAAATATTTCATATACTGCAGCACAGATTCCCGCTTAGAGGATGAACCGGGCTGGTGGGGCCCGTGGGGTAAGGATGGTGGCACTGTGGCCCCTGGGGTGGAGGGGCAAAGGATTTGCCATAAAAACGTGTGTGTAAGATTGGAAAGCAACAAGGGCCCACAGCTGTCAGTTACTTGGAACCAAAGTAATGAAAGTCTCAGGTTTTTTAAACCACCTTTTAAATATCCTGTACTCTTTTTTTTCCCCTGATGTGTGAGAGAGACAAATGACAACCTAATAACAATAATTTAGTTTTAAAAAGCCGCTTTCAACCCAAGAGTTGAAAACCTACATCCACCCAGAAACTTGTTCGTCAGTGTTCATAGCAGCAGTATTTATAACAGCCCCCAAAATGGAAAAGGGAACCCAAATATCCATCAGCTGATAAATAGAGAAACAAAATGCGGTGTATCTGCACAATAGAATATCCTCTGGCCATAAAAAGGAGTGAAGTACACTTACATGCTGCAACATGAATGAGTGTTGAAACCAACGTGTAAGAAGCCTGGCAGAAAAGGCCACATACCGTGTGCTTCCATTTATGTGAAATGTTCAGAAGGCAGAGCTGTAGAAACAGACCAGATTAGTGGTTGCCAGCGGCTGAGGGGAGGGGAGCATGGGCAGTGACGACTAATGGGTGTGGAGTTTCTGTTCTGGGGTGATGGAAGTGTTCCGGGGTTAGTGTTGTTGCTGATTGTACAACTTTATGAGTGTGTTCAAAGCCACTGGATTGTGTATTTTCAAAGGGTGCATTTCATGGTTTGTGAATTAGATCTCAGCTAGAATGAAAAGCAGCTTCCGGATCTGCTGTTGGTGTTTATAGACTCAGCCCAATCTCCTCTACCTGCTGCATCACCGGGTTTTCTAGATCGGTGGCCGTTTGCCGAATAGTGACTGTTCAGACAGTGCAGGAGGCTCTGGCGCCTTGGGAATCATTCTATTCAGAGAAGGCAGCAAGGAGTAGGACGGCTCAGAGATGCCTCCTTCCCCTCCCCGTTCCTCCATTTTCAGAACTGGGGAGGTAGAAAGAAATAGTAAGGTCAGGACGCTCAACAGGAGACAGATGTGAGTCTGCCATTCACCAAACAGCCAGCCCTTCTCGTGCCTGGGAGGAGTCACCCTGACCAAAGGCAGGACCTGGACAGCATGGACCCAGGCAGCCCATTTTAAGAAAAGAATCATATGAGTAATATGTGCTCAGTGTGGGGAAATTAGAAAACACATGTAAACAAATAAATGTGTCTCCTGTAGTTCCACCATCTTTTTCTGTTTCCTTTTAAACAAAATTGGGGCGGTAATATGCGATGCATGCTGTTTTGTAATCTGTTACTAGCAAGGCACCAAACCTGTATGTTGATGATCGCTGTAAGGCTTCCCGGGTAGCTCTCCCCTACCCCACTCATGTTTTCTTCTGTAAGCCCTCAGGTGCCTCACTTTGTGCCCCGGGACGCCCCGTTTGCCCTCCATGCTTTGGCAGGAGGACCACGTCCCGTACAGGAGACCTTCTGGGGCCTGCAGGCAGGAAGAGCGACTAACAGAGATGCAGCACATTCTCACCACCTCCTTATCGCTTCTTCTGTCAACAAGATGAACTGGACAGGCCAGGCTCTTCTGCCGCAGCTGTTTCCTTGGCCATTCCAGGCAGGCTTGAGATGCTGGGAACATATCCAGTCCTCACATTCGATCTTCTTAGAAGCCGTTTGCCTTTGGTTTTCTCCAGCCTTGCAAATAGTCACTCGCCCTGGGCAGGATCCGGGCAGGTAATTCACCTTCTCGACTAACTTAATGAATGGCACTGCCCAGGGGCTGGGCAGATGAAGGAAAATACAGGCAGCAATTTATTTGCCAAGGTAAAGCCCAAAGTTAAGAGGCAAGGTAGTTAATTACCTCCGTACGTCACGTGTCCCAGGTGCAACTAGAGAAGATTTCCTACCAAAGAAGATATTAGGAAAAAGGCTTTTCTTTTGGCATTTCCTTCTCTGCACATGTGAAAAAGCTACGTTTCGGAGGGATTGCAGGTTTGGATCAGACGCAATGTTCCCTGCCCCCACTCGGAGAAGATCCATTACAGATTGGAAATGACTTTGTCTCTAAGTGCCCATTGTCAGATGGGATGCACGTTCTCCTCAACCAAACAAATATAAAATGCTTCCAGCCTCTGCCTCGGATTTTCTATTACTGTTTCACAGGACTCCAGAGAGTTTTAAGATAGCAATTTGATTAAGCTTATGGGGAAGATCCCATCAGATAACATTCTTTTTCTGCAGGTAGAGATAATGTGTTCAAGTATTAAGTATGTTTTAAGGGTAATTATCTTTTCCATATTCATTTTAGTTACAGGAATTGAAAAGGGGGAGACTTTGCATCTGAAAGACGCCCCTTGGGCCCTGGAGTTGCCCTGACTTCTCTCCTTTGGGAAACACACTTGAGGTTTTTGACAAATGATGGAGCACCGAGTGTTTCTTTGTTTGGAAATGATCTGGGATCCCCTGTCTCCAAAGATGTGGTCCAGAAGGTGGGGTCTTGGCCGCTACCCTCATCAGGCTCCCTCGCTTGGATTCCCTGTCCTGGAAGGCCTCCTGGGCTCCCCATCTTAAGCTCCTGGATGACGGAAGGGGGACTGGCTGCTACTCAAAAAGAGGACTTGCCTCCTCCAACAGTGAGTCACAGCACCACATCCCCATCTTCTGAAACAGAGCCTGGAATCACCATTTATATATATTGAGCCCAGTCTGGGGATTCAAATTGAAAGAAGTTAATTCGAGGTCTAGAATTTTAACATTTGTAGACTCCTAGGCTTCAGACCTGGAGCAAGAAGTCAAGGAGGGTGATCCTGAGCCTCAGAGAGGTTCAGTGATTTGCCCAAGGTCACCCGGCAGCTTAGAGAGACATAGGTGGTCTAGAACTCAGGAATCCTGTCTTGGACTGCTCTTCCTGTCCTCCAGGATACCTACAACTCTGCCACCTCCAGGAAACAATCCTCTTCCCTTTTCCTGGAAATCTCCAGAGTAGGAGATTTCTGTCCATGTGACCTGCCTTGCTTATCTGGTAGCCAGGGTCTGCGCTGAGAGCTGCCAGGGCCCCTAGGGATCTGAGAAGCCCGGAGCAAGCATATTGCAGATGCTCCGGACTTCCTCACACCTCACTTGCCTACCAACTGTATTGTTTTAAAGCACTCTGTCAATTTTTGCAAAATAGAAAAATCAGACCCAAGTCCTACCTTCAGAAAGCTAACCATTGCCAGGAAGGAAAACACAGGCGTATATAAAAAGGTAATTAACAATGCGAGACACTGACTAAGAGCCACGCTGCAGGGACCTCGGGGTGGTGTTTGTAGTGTCTCGCATCCCTTTGCCCGAAACCCTTTCCGCTGTAGCTGGAAACCCGTAGTTCCTGTGCACAGTATTCCCCCTTTTCTGTCTCTGCCTGGTCGCCCAGGAGCTCGTGATGAGCTGGGCTGCAGCTGGCTGGTCTGAAGGCAGCGAACTCAGGGAAGGGACCCCACGGGACAAGTTTATCATGTAAGAACCTAGGATGGTGGCCTTCAGAGTCCCAATCCCTCCCCTAGGTGGATCAGATAAAGGTGGCAGTGGAGGATAGATGTGAACTTGGTGGCTTGGTCTTATGCACGAATCCTAGGTAAGGATGACTCCGGCATCTGAAAGGCACACCCGATGTTGCCCCTCCCATGCTTATCCTTCAAAAGATCCTCACTGTCTTACACCAGCTACACATTAAAATCATTTGGGGGAGCTTTAAAAAAACATAGGAAGCAAGGATTTCCACCCCAAACCTTCTGAATCAGAGTCTCCAGCTTGGGGCCCAGACAGGGCTGTTTTCTAAAGCTCCCCAGGACATTCACGTGTAAAAGCAGAGTGGAGAACTTCGGGATGAGATAAGAGCAGACTCCACTGCGTCGCCCAGAAAGTGCCTCCAATCAGAGTTTCAGGCCATCTCATGCCGCCGCCTACAATGTGTTCATCCCAAGTCACTTTTCATTCCCTGTTCTCTCCTGGCTGGTGTTCTTCTCCATGTGTCCTCTTCTGTCTCCCACACTTTCACGTGTCTTGTCTGCTTAGACTGTTTCTTCTTAACTCAGCTGTGCCTGTTATGTAAATGTCTGTGTTTCCTCCAGATTCCTGTGTGGAAGCCCTAACCTCCAGTGTGATGGGATTTGCAGGTGGGGCCTTTGGGCAGATTTGGATGAGGTTGTGAGGATGGAGCCCACAAGGTGGGATTAGTGTCCTTATAAGAAAAGGAAGAGACTGTCTCTGCCACATGAGGACACAGCTAGGAGGAGGCTGTCTGCAAACCAGGAAGAGAGCCCCCACCAGGAGTCCGGCCATGCTAGCACCCTGATCCCAGACTTCCAGCTTCTAGAACCACGAGAAATCATTATCTGTTGGTTAAGCCGCCCAGTCATAGTACTTTGCTAGCAGCCGGACAAGGTCCTTCTCTGTCACACCTTACTTTCCCCCAAATAAGCAGTGGAAAGTCTTCCCTCCTTTTCCTCTCCTGTGTCATGAACATGCCCCACCGTAGCACTGGGCCATCTTGCTGCTCCCTCAGTTAGACAGGGATGTCTGAACCATCTTTGGGTCCCTGGACCCCTTTACTCTGTTTGCACAGTAACCACTCAGTAAATATTTGTTGTGTGATTAACCAAAAGCGGTAAAGGGAGTTTCCTGGTTAGAGGCAGGAAGGCGGACTCTGTTCTTGTCTGAATTCAGATGTTTGCTCTTCTTTGCTTGTCACCTGTGGGGCCTTGGACAAGTCACTCAACCTTTGCAAGTATCAGATTCCGTACCTTGAAAAACTAGAAATCTGTACTTGCCTCATAGACCCCAGAGATGGAGATGAAGACCAGAAAGGTCTTAGAAAGACGTAGCATCCTTGTAAAGTGAAAAGCACGATTCAAATTTAACGTATTATTATAATTGTGACATCTCTCGAGACCCTTAGGGGCTTTGGCTTCTGCCCTTCTGGTACCCAGTCTGTGCCCTGGGCACCATCCACCCCCCCACCCCCCAGCTCTTTCTGGCTCTTTCCCTCCCTGGTCTCCTCCGTCATACCTGCCACGTTCTCCCCTGCACATACGTGAATTCCATACAAAAGCAAGCCAAATGCTATTATGTGTTTTTAATTACAGAGAAAATAATGAGGGAAGCAGGCTGGTCCATTCAGTAATGAAGTATTCAGTGTAACACCAGGAGCGGGAGTTAGAAAGAGGGGCGGCCTAGGATTTTTGACTGAATATGACCTGAGTGGGTCAATGAGACAGATCCCATGGGCAAACCATTCCAGCTTCACAGCCTCCAGTGTGGAGAAAGTTCCAGAAGGAACCTGAACTCTTGTCATTTCTTCCTCATGCATCAAATGTGATTTGTGACCATCAACCACGGACACAGGTGCCAGCATCCTAGAATAGCCCACCTCGCCTGCCCTCCGGGAGCTGGCAGACAGGAAGAAGGCTTGCTCAGGAGCCAGAAGGCCAGAGGCTCAGCCCCGATGGGGGCGGCGGGTAGGGAGGAAAGCTTGCAGGCGGGAGGAGATGCGCCGACTGAATTTTCTTCTCATCCTGCTTCAGGGTAAATTTATTTTATGGGACTGGTGAGTGAGTTGCTCGCCCCGTCTTGTAGAAGAAACCTGTGTGTGAGCTTGTGCTTCTGAGGCCAGTGGTGCCTGGCGTTGGTGGAGGGAGGAAGTATATAAAGGGCAAGACAGGAGACCCTGATGCCTGGATTCAGAGCCTCCGCATTCCGGGACCCCCCAGAGGCCCCTCTCCCTGGACCCTTCGGCTGGAGAAAGCCATTGTGCTCCGTGCTGGCCTCTGACCCCGAGGCTCTGGGAAGCAGCAGGTTGTTGACACTTGGACAATCATTTCTTGCAGGACCACTGCCTCCTTCGGGAGCTCCCCTCTCTGCCTTGGGGTGGTGACGGCTCCCCCAACGAGGAAGGGGAGTGGTGGAGGAGGAGGGGGAGGGGGCATCTCAGTGACAGGGCTGCCCGGCTGCTCCCCCCAGTTGTGTCCACATTCACTCCTCTAATCTGCCCGTTCAGGGGCACCCCCTCCCCAGGGGAGTGCCTCAGGAGAATAAGTCCAGGAGATCTGTTTCTGGCCCCAGTTCCTTCTGGCCTTCCCATTTGTGGGTCCCTGTTGGCGGGGGAGCCCCAGATTTCTTTCTGGAGGATGCCTGTCTGCGTGTCTCCTGCCGTCACAGCAACAAAGACTATTTCTCACCCTGGTGCTGTTGCTTATGAGAAGCAAGACTCCTGGCAAGTCACCTGCCCTTTTAGGAGTTCAGTTTCCACGTTGGTAGAAGGGGATCCAAAAAACCCGCTTCCCTAGCCAGCCTGCTGCGACACTCAATGAAATAATACGTACTGGGCGCTCTGCACCCTGTGGGGCAAACGTGCGGTGGGTTATTACGGCTTCTCTCAGAACCACGGTTTCCTGGCAGTTCGTGTGTGTGTGATTCTTACAGTTTCTGTGTGTGGAGTCCCTGAGCATTTTCGGCCCCCTTCCGTCTAGGGCATCTCAGGAAGCATTATTCAGAAGGGGGTGGGGCTGGACTGAGAGACTCTTACATTTTTTAAGTGCCACTTTGCATTCCTTTCACCTCCGTCTTAATAATAAATAACTCCGATCGCGTGGCCAAGACCTGGGATGTTCTGTCCAAATGAATGCAAGAATGTGTCTCCAACAGCCGGGCGTCCCCATTCAGTGTGCTTGGTCAGGACCATTTCTCCAGCCATGAGAAAAGCTGTCTTGCTAAGCTACAGAAAAATCTCTCTTGTGCTTTAATTCTGGAAGAAGCGGATTAGTGTGGCCATATTTAACCTTTGACCCTGACACAAAAGCATTATCAAAATTAGTTACCAAGAGGCTCTGTCTTCCTTTCCCTGCCCCCACGTCCCTGTTTGCTGGGGCTGGTTTAGGACCTCGGTAAACCCTTTTTGAGCCAGAGCAAAGGTTCAGAAGACCGTTGTTGCCTTAGAGACATCCGGGCCTGGCTCTGGCTGTCAGAGCTCACGGGGTCCAAGGTGGACGAAAGGCCAGAGCTGAGAATCTTGCACTACAGTGGGGGTCAAAATTCATGGGCTGGATTTACAAACTCTTTGTCCTCTGAAACCAGCCTAGTTCTTGGCTCTCTTGGAAATTGGACACTCCAAATGATATATTGATTTTTAGACCCACATACATCAGAACTTTTTTAATGCCTCCTTCCACCCAGCTGCTGTATGATCTGGAAGGATGGATTTTCAACATTTCCCCTTTCCGGGCAGAAATCCATGGACGTGGGGCTGGCATGGACATGGTGTATTTGGACCTGCGTCATTTCTCTGGGTTTAAATCCCTCCCTGTCATTTAATCATGATGGCTTTGGCAATTTATTTGAACTCTGAGCCTCAGATTCCTCATCTGTAAAATGGGCACAGTTATGATAGTCCTGGAGTTATTTTTGAGGACGGATAATAAAAGTCATGTGAAGTACCTAGAACGGCATGTGGCATTTACATCAGTGCCCTCACTAAGTGATTTGCAATATTAGCCACTTTTATTCCTAGTGTCATCAATATCATTTTTGATTCTTTTTTTATTGAAGAATAGTTGATTTACAATGTTGTGTTAGTTTTTCTGGTGTTCAGCTTAGTGATTCAGTTATACACATTTATTCTTTTTCATATTCTTTTTCATTACAAGTTATTACAAGCTATTGGATACAGTTCCCTGTGCTACACAGTAGGACCCTGTTGTTTATCTATTTTATATAAAGTAGTTAGTATCTGCTAATCCCAAACTCCTAATTTATCCCTCCCCCCTCTCCTGTCCCCTTTGGTATAACCATTGGTTGGTTTTCTAGGTCTGTGAGTCTGTTTCTGTTTTGTGAATAAGTTCATTTGTGTCACTTTTTTAGATTCCACATGTTACGTGTGAGCGCTATTGCAGATTCTCCATCACCTGCCAGGTCCTGCGTGGTGCCGTCCCTCCCAGTGCCCAGCACACTGGGGTCTTATTGGTGACCTGGCCCATTTCTGGCTCCTCGAACCCCGCTTTCTTTGCAGTGATTTTCGGAGTCCCCTTTTGGATGGGGAGGCCGGGCGGTGGGTGTGGGTGAGGATCGGTTTCGTTTCATACCAGAAGTCCAACCTGCAGTGGGGGATTGGGAGGGCAAAGGGCTTTATAAGCTCGCGATGAAAGCTGTAAAACGAGATGGTCGAGGATCTGGCCAGGCCTGGTTCAGGATTATGGCCGCCCCTGGAATGTCGAGGGGGCCCCTCGTAAGAAGCCAGTGTCTATTTACAGTGTATCTCTCATAAACCCGAACGCTGGGGCGAGGGCAGGGGGACTCGCCCTCCTGGCATGTGATTGATTATCTGGTATTTATGCCATTGAGGACTTGTCAGCGGTCTGGGGTCAAAGGGTCATCTCATGTGTCTCGCCGCCAGTCCACCTCCTTTGTACAGTGCGGCCCGGGTGAGCCGTGCACAAAACAGCTTTTTCTTTTCCTTGGGAAAAGGGGGAGGGGGTGGGGGGGACTGTCAGTGAAAAATTTTTTTTCAACCTTTTCTGAATAGTGTCCTTTTAATTCTAAAGAACTTTTAATTAAAAGTAGCACGAAAATTCATCTTGAGAAGGTTTAACTTACCTTAACAGATACTTTTGTGTCCCAAGAAGCTCGAAAATTCATCTTGAGAAGTTAACTTACCTTAACAGATACTTTTGTGTACCCAAAGGAAGCGTAGGGAGGTAGTACTTAAAAAAAAAAAAAAAAAAGGAACAAGTAAGGGATGAGTTTTTGTGAGGTCTCTTGCCCTCCCCAGACATCTTCAAGGGTCCCTGGAGTTCCCTTGCACTCCCTGCCTGAGTGTGGCCCCAGCTGGGGAAGGCAGGAAGGAACGAGGTGCTTCCTTCAAATGGAACATAGCCGTGGAAAGGTACAAAGGGACTTCGGCCCCTCTGGTCCAACCTTCTCCTGTTTTAGATGAAGAAACGGAGCTTTGGCAGGTAGAAAGACTTACTCGGAGTCTCACAGCTAGTCGGCTGTAGAGTCAGGTGCTCACATCTGTTTGCCTGACCCTCCACCTGGTGTTTCTTTCAGCCTGTGGAGTTGTTTCCTGAAGTTTTGGGTGCCAAGGGAAGATAACGTGATGTTGCTGTTGCTGGTTTTAAATCCTAGATATTTGAGGCTTGGGGGCTGCCCCTTGATTCCTTGGGCCGGAGGGATGTCCCTGTCCCAGTCTCTGAGCAGGCAGCGTGTACTTACATGGCCCGGAGAAATTGCTCTGTTCCCACTTCCTAAAAATCTGCAGAGAGAGAGGAGGCACTCTCCTTTGCTTGGTAGAAGATAGCAGCGCATCTCCCCCAGGTCCTCGTCACTCGATGGTCTGCGTGTCCTTCTGAGCAGTGAACCCAGTTTCCCCCTGCACTGGAGCTCATGAGTGGCCTGAGCTGTCTCTCTGTCCACCCGTGGAGAGAGGGACATGCCGGGACACCTCAGTCTATGGGCAGCACTGCTCCCCTGTGACCTGCACACTGCCGAGGAGCAATTACCCTCTAACATCTTGCCCAGGCACCTTGGCTGGTGATGTCTCAGGACATCAGCGAAGGGGGACCTTGCTGGGACACCCTGCCCGTGCCTCTCGGCTCATCAAACAACGGTGGAGGCCCAGGCAGAGAAATGACTTGCCTAGAGTTAGTTGTTGCTGGGAAAACTCATGCTCCCCATCGTCCTGATTTGTCCTCCCCGCCCTCCACTCTCAAATATGCGGTACAAAGAATTGGCTTCTAAGGAATTGCTTTAGAAATCCCAATTCCTTTCTATTCCCTTCATCCCTATTCAGGTTAAATTAGTGAATGCTAATTTGGGCTGATGGGGCACCACTGTGAAGGGGATACTAAAATTGTGTAAGATCTGGTTCTTGCTCAGGAGAGGAGAAATCAGCATTTATTGGATTCTTACAGAATTTACTGAGCGTTGTACCCTGTGCTAATGTTGAACTTTGATCATTTTATTTAGTCCTTACATCAGCTTTTCCAGGTGAACATTGTTTCCGGATGAGGAAGACATGAGCAGCTTTCCCCGGGGTGCACACCTGATAACCATCATAGCTAAAACTTACTGAACATGTGCTTTGTGCTCGGTAGTCCTCAGCATTTTAAACACATGATCTCCTTGGGTCTCCATCAAATCCCTATGAAGTAGGTATTGTTCTTATCCTGGTTTTAGTGAGTTGGAAACAGGCACAGAGGAGTTGGGTAACTTGCCTGAGGTCACACAGCAGTAGGAAGGGGCCAAGCTGGATTTGAGCCACAGTGATTGACTACAGAGTTCACCCTTAAGCTGTGTGACCACTCTGCCTCTTTAGATCTCAGAGCTGGGCTGGAACCCAGAGTTGTCTGCTGCTGGTGTGCACGTTGTGTTTCCCCTCTATGCTAATATAAATTTGCTGGGAGACACTATGTATAGACATATATAAATCAACCAGAGACCAGCAAAAGGTCACTGTGTAATCAGATGCCAGCCAGGGTGGTGCGTGGAGAGGAATTTAGAGGAGGAATATGTTAACGAGGACGTCACTGAGTCTCATCTCTGGGCTCCCATAATAAGGTGCCATGCCTTCATCATCTCTCCATCTCCAGCCCTAAGCCAGGGCTGGTACCCATTAGCTCTTCTATAAATGCTGATTAAATGACTGGGGGAAGAGGTAGTGGGGAGGTGGGGTTGAAATGAATTTGTTTTAGGAAAATGACGTCGATAACTAACTTCCTTTTGCTGTGTGCTGACCAGGTACCAGAGACTTGGCTTAGGGGTACTGTTTATTCTGTAGTTTCACCCTTACCACAGCCCTGTGGCTCTTATTACTGCCGGAGTAAACTGAGGCTGAAGACAGGCTCTGTATCTTGCCTGAAAATTGGAAGTCTTTCCCCCCGCCATGATTTCAAAATCCACTTCCTTTCCCAAGGCCCAGGAAAAGGCACGTGCAAAGGGGAAAAAAAGCAGAAGTGAGCGAGGATGGCTCCAGAGAGACTGCTCAGTTGGCACGGGGGACCTGGAACGCTGGGGGAAGAGCAGAGTGTGTCCTCTTTTTTTTCTGTTCATGGTTGGGAGTTGTCTCTTTGATATAAGAAAATCTGGATCTATGGAGTGAACTGTGTCCAGTTAATTGAATTTATAATTCAGCACCCAAATGCTAAAAAGAACTGTCTTTTATGTCCTTTAATGAGTGCTATAAAAACAAGTGGTGAATCTAATTTTATGAATGATCCTTTATGACTTACCTGATAACTAGTAGTTGTTCAACACAAAGGACTCATAACTCAGTCTGGGTCCAAGCTGGCTGCCTGCAGTAAAAGGACTTGTTTTAAAGTTACCGTCTTGCTCCTTGAGTGGTCCTGAAATTTGGTTGTCCCACTGTCTCCTCTTGTAGAGGATGAGGCTTCGGCTCCTCATCCTGGGGGAGGATGGAGAAGGGTCACCTGGCCTGCCAGCCTGGGATGACTAAGAACTCTGCCCTGTCAGAACTGCCTTTTACCAAGAAAGGGAAGAGAAAAACATGGCGGCTTCTTCCAAACTCTCTCACGGAGGATACTGGGTTCACCTAGACCCGGTGTGCTGGGGGAAAAAACAGACACATAGAGAAAGAGGCACAAAGGAGATAAAAGAATGTCTTTTATCTTCACCCTACCACAAAGACAATGAGCCTTAAAAAAATAAATAAATAAGAAAAGGAAGCTTAGGTTAGACGCTGGTGAGAATTTCCTGAGCTGAAAAGATGTTCCCAAGAGAGACTGAGGAATCTGCCTCTCTAGGGGGCATATTTGTACCTTTAGCTTTTGAAAGTTTTTTGTCATTTTTATTGAAAAGTTGAACTTGAATGATTTTGTGATTACAGATCTTAAAAGTGATAGATATTGGCCATAAAATCGAAGCATCATCTGTGAATATGATTGAAGAAAGGTGGGCTACTCCCATCTGGGAAGTCAGAGGCAGGGGGCTGGAGCTGGGGGCCAGTTCCCTGCCCACGGTGCTAGCCCAGAACAGGAAGGGTCTTGAACAGCGCACCCAGGGTGGCGGAGTGGGAGCGCCATGATGGAAGGCCGAGAGAAGGCTGTGGTTTCCATCCGTTACCACCTTTCCCACTTCATCTCCGGTAGGAACGGACCCTGCGGCCCTGAGTGGACCTTTTTGTGGGGCTGCTGAGCTGGGAAGCTGTCTCCCCACCCCGCTTTCCCATGTA